TACCACTACGATTTTCACGAGTATTACGGTTACGACGTACTACGACTACGGCTATGGCCACACTTACTACTACGATTGATAGTGCTAATATCAGGACAGCTACAGCTACGCTTACTACTATTACTGCCTACTAGTACGACGACCATCACTACGACGACGACTACGATTTTAACTCCGCCTACGGCTACGGCTACACGAATGCTACTAGTCCTGTTACTACTACTACTACTACTACTACTACTACTACTACTACTACTACTACTGCTGCGGCTACTGCTGCTGCTACTACTACGGCTACGACTACTGTTACTTCTACGATTTTTACTACGACGACGACGACGACGACTACTACTACTATTACGACGGGTACGGCTACTACGATTACTATCACAAGTGCAACTACGGCTAATCTGACGGCGGCTATTACTACTACTACCACTACTACTACTACTACTACTACTACTACTACTACTACTACTACTACTACTACGACTACTATCACCATTACTACTACTACTACTACTACTACTACTACTACGACTACTACTACGACTACTACTACTACTACTACTACTACTACGACTGCCGCTCGTACTGCTACTGCGACTGTTGCTGCTGCGACTAAAATTGTTAGTGCTGTTACTTCTGCTTTTGTTGCACCTCCTGCTACTGCTACCTGTACTGCTACTTTGACGACTACTCCAGCGTCTACGACTGCGACGACTAATACAAATACTACTACGACTACCATTACTCTTACTACTACTACTACTACTACTACTACTACTACTACTACTACTACGACTACTACTACTACTGCTACTACTACTACTAATACTACGGCACCGGCGGCTACGACTACGACTACTACTACTTCTATTATTAGTACTGCCACCACTATTAGTACCACGACTACTACTACTACTACTACTACTACTACTACTACTACCACTACTACTACTACTACTACTACTACTACTACTACTACTACTACTACTACTACTACGACTACTACTACTACTACTACTACTACTACTACTACTACTACTACTGCTACTACTACTACTACTACTACTACTACGACTTCTACTTCCACTTCTACTACTACTACTACTACCACTACTACTACTACTACTACTACTACTACTATTACTACTACTAACACTACTACTACTACTACTACTACTACTACTACTACTACTACTACTACTATGTCTGCTACTGCCACTGCGTCTGCGACTACTACGACTACTACCACAGCTTTCTACCGCTACTACTGCAATCGTTATGATTACTACCACGGCTACTAGTATTCTTACTTCTACTACCAGTACTACTACTACTACTACTACTACTACTACTGCTGCTACTCTACTACTCTACTACTACTACTACTACTACTACTACTACTACTACTACTACTACTACTGCTATTACCAATGATAGTACTATTACCCTTACTTGTTCGGCTATTGCTGCGGCTGCTCCTGCTACGAATATTGCTACGCCGACTGCTACTACCCACCAATTTTATTACGACCACCTCCATTTCAGCTACTGCTATGGCTACTGTTGTTATTACTGCTCGTACCACGACAACGGCTACGACTAGTACTGCTATTTCGACGACGATTACGATTACGACTGCGTTGAAAATTATTGCTTAGCGATTGCTACTACGACTACGACTACGGCGACTACTACTCCTATGATTTCCTGCTGCTACGACGACTACTACAAGCCATGCGATTCCGACTACGATTGCCCGTGCTACTATTACCACTACTACTGCTACTGCGGCTGCTACTGATAAGACGACTTCTACCACTACCACGGCTACCGCTACGACCACGACTATATCTACGACTGATACCACTACTGTGACTGCTACTCCTACTTCGACTACTAATACGAGTGCTACTACTACGACAACTACCACTATGACTACGACTTCTAAGACTTCTAGTTCTGCTGCTACTGATGCTGCTACTCCGGGTACGTCTGCGACGATTATTTGTACGATCGCGACTACGATTGCGACTACGATTACGACTACGACTACGAAAATTATTTTTCTTGCTTATGCTACTACGGCTGCTACTACTATTACTACGATTACGTCTACGACTATTGTCATCTCTGTTGCCACGACTACTACTACGACTGCGACTACGACTACGGCTACGACTACCACTATTATTAGCACTACTACTACCACTACCACTATCACTACAGCTGCTGATGTGTTCTTCTGCTACTGCTGCTACTACAAGCATCACGGCTGCCACTACTTTTGCGATTTCTTTTAGGGGGGCAGTGGACTTGATTTCCACGCGCATCGCAATATGGACGATGCGCGGAAGCAGAAGGGGTAGGAAGAAGAGCACTGCGGCGGCATTTGACGGTGTGATCGTGGAGGCGATGGCGGTGGAGGTGGCAGTGGCGCGGTGCTGGCCTTCGGCCAACACTGCAGGTGGCCCTCGTCAGAATTTGTTTTCGGCCAGCTTCCAGGTCATTTATGACTAACCACCCGGTTTGAGACCCACGATGCAATCAATCGGCGCCAGGCTTGCTGCTTTTCGATCGGCCCTCCGCTCCGAGAGCGGGCCGCGACGCACAGACGTATTCGTGCGAGGATAAGTTGGAGTTATTCTTGGAGCACGGCCTAGACAACGACAGGAGCGACCAAACTAAGTCATCGGGCCCGCCTGGAGGTCGCAACCGCCACGCCCATGCGCATGGGAGGATGAGGAGCACTGGGGGCACTGTGACTGCGGACAATGTTTCTGTGAAGTTGCTGGCGCCATCAGCCGCAGGGCGCCCATGTAGGTCATTGGAGCACGCGCGCGTGAGCCACATGCCCGCGGCCTGAGCAGCAGCAGCAGGAGGATGGTGGAGGGCTTGCGGGCTCTGGAGGAAGTGTGATTCAATACCGCAACAGCAGAAAATTGTGGGCTGAGGAGGAAGCTTTTTTATCACCTAGAGGGGAGGCCAGCAGCGAGCGAGCAACAACCACGTCTGGGAGCAGCTCCCTGCCGGGGAAAAGGGCCAGCGCAAGAGTCCTTTGGGACCAGCGGGGAGCAGGGCAGACGTAGCCCTCGCTGGCCGAGAACCCTGGGCAGGGTCGCGGCGGTCGAGGCCAGGCACAGGTCGGAAAAGGCTTTGTGCTGCGCACGTAGTGCCCCCCCCACGGGCAGTTCCAGCTGGCTTCGGCAGGCCCCCCGAGCAGCACCAGCTGGCCTCAACGTGCCCCATCAAGTACACGCCGGTTGTTGAAAGTGGGTATCTCTGGACTCCCAGATCCCAATCTACTTTCAGCGCTGTGTTGTGTCGTTCCCTGGAGGGGCCTGGACCCAACCCGCTTCATCCGCCTTCCTGCTTTATGTTTTTTCCTACTTCTTCCGACCGACGTGCAGTCCTGGGCAGTCTCAACACCCCGGCGCCGCCTCCAGCTGTTGTTTTAAGGATGAAGATGGAGGAGGAGAAGGAGGAGGAGGAGGAGGAGGAGGAGGAGGAGGAGGAGTAGCACCAGCTGGCCCCAACATGCCCCATCAAGTGGCCCTGGGCGGTCTCAACACCCCGGCGCCGCCTCCAGCGGCGCCCACTGGGGCGCTCCCGAGCCCCAGGGCCTAAGGGTTGGGCCGCCCCAGACTGCTCTCGGGGCGCCCGTTGAGGCCAGCTGGGGCTGCTCGGGGGGCCTGGTGGAGGCCAGCTTTCGGTCGGCCGTGTCCCCCTGCAGGGGGACTTTCGACGAAAAATAAAAAATGCCCCCAACATAGTCCCAAATGGTCAAAGAGTGTTCAAAAAATAGTCCCCAGACTGTTTTTTGTCTATCTTGCAATCTTCCCCCTGTAGAGGGACAGGCCCGACGGAAGGCTAGCTGAGCCTGCGCGCGCAACCCGAAGGACCATCATGTCGGAAGACCCGAAGCGGTGCGGCGACCACCGTCGGGTGAGTCTGTGGGGTTTCGGGGTGGGCGCTCGGTCTTGGGACGTGGGCCGCTCTCCGTCTCCGCGGATGTCTCTGGCAACTGGAGGCTCCAAGGTCCCCAAACTGTGCGGTGGCGGACCGTGCGGTGATGTCTTTTGGGAGTTCGAGGTCGCCGCACTGTCTGTTACCTCGCCGTTCTGGGACCCCCGAACAAAGGGGGTGTTGGTTGACACGGACAAGGCCTCCAACGAAAAATAAAAAGCGCAAGCGGGAAGGTGGTGCTCATTCCTTATCGCCCGCGTTCTGTTGGCTTGTGTGTTCATATGAGCGTGTGGTGGCCGCATCGCCAGGGTGGGCGCCGCTAGAACAAATGTGCTGGGCTGCTCCAGGGCAAGATTTGGAAGCGGACCTCGGAGAGATTCTAGCCGGATCGGAACATGTCCAGCTGCTTGCGACAAGTCCCGCCACCGTGCCAGCCCAGCACCTTTGGGTGGCATCTGTTCGGAGGGCGTACAGGGGGGCGTGAAGTGGGAGAGGTGGCATGTCATCTTCGCCGTTTTATTTTCTTTCTGCCGTATTTTCTTGGGCTCCTGCGGGGCACTATTGGGCATCCCTTGCACTATTTGGGGCCGTGTTGGGGGCTTCTTCCGTCTTTGAGCTTTTTGGGCACGTCTTAGGGCCCCCGCACAGCCTTGCCTAAATCCATGCCTGGGTGGGCTCCCCCGAAGCTCACAGCCGCAGCTAGCTCCGAGTAGTCCCGCCCAACCCCACGATTAGGGCTGAGAGCCACAGAGCTCGCCACTGCTAATAGGCCCGCCGAGTCCCGTATACACATATGCCTAGTCGCCGCCAGTAGGTCTGCCTAGCCGCTGGCCTAATGTCTAGTGTTGCGCCTCCCAGATCTCGTTGCCATCACTGGTCCTGCTGCGTCTTAGGAGAGCGACTCACAAAGCTCGTCGCCAGCACCAACCCTGCTTAGCCCCATGTCAACGGCCGCGCCCCCCAAACCTCGTCGCCACCATCACCCCCGCCTGGCCCTATGCCGAGGAATGCGCTTCCGAAGCTCGCCGCCCCCTCTAGACCCGTCCAGGATGGTATTCTGCCCCTGGAAGCCGGAGTCCCCACAGCCGCTATATGGCCCTGCTTTCTCCAGCCACTGCTGCTCTGGAGCGTCAGAACAGCTGGGGCGCTCCCGGGTGACAGCGGCTCCTACGCTGCCTCCTGCGCCGCCCTGCAGGCTGCCGCTGCCGTGCGGCCCCCATGGGCAACGGACCGCTCACGCCGTTCGACCCCGAGCTCGCGTACGCCGGGCTGGACACCGCCCCGCCGCTGAGGCCGCCCGAGCGACCCGATTCCAGCGCTGGAGAGCTGCCGGGCCAGGCGTCCGCCGCCCCCCCGGGCGCCGAGGCGAGCCTGCCGCTGCCCCCGCCGCCGCCCGCCGCACCGCGCGGCGCCAGGGCGCGCCCGGCCCCGCTGCTGTCCAGCGCGGACTCCTTCGTGGTGCCGCTCTCCTGGCCCCTCGCAGAGCAGCAAACTGCGCGAGCACGACTTCTCCGAGGTCCGCGCGGAGTCCTTGCATCGGCGTTGGGCCCCCCTCGTGGCGCCTCTGGCGCCGCCCCTCTGGCGCGCTCCGAGACGCCGGGGAGGGGGGGGGCAGGGAGGGGGTGCCCAGCGCCGATCCATGCCAGCCGCGCAGACCTCCGAAGCATTCCGCCTGTGCCGTTTGGCATGTTCTTCCAGGCCCAGCAGCGAGGTGCTCGACGATGGCCCGGCCCAGTCGCCGCTGCCGCTCGGCGGGGGCGCTTCCCGCAGGGGCCGGCGAGCGGCAGCCGCGGTCGGCCGAGGCGGCTCGGAGACGACCACGACGCCGCTGCTCCCCGGGTGCACGGGTGGCGCACAGGCTGCGAGCGTTGCTAGAAGTGCCCCTGGCCCAGGGCGCCCCGAGAGTTTTGAAGGAAGCCCCCGCGGCCCCCAGGGCATCACTCGCGAGGCCCAGAGGGCCCCAGGGGCTCCAGAATTGATCGAAAAGTTGGGGAGCATCTTGGGCCAGGGGCACATCTAGCCACCGCCGAAGGCTAGCCGCACGAGTCTCACGAGCACGGCGTCGTGCTACGAGCAGGCATTCGAAGAAGGGATAATTGCAGAAGCATAATTCGTCGTCGCGTTCCGCGCATTCCAGCCCGTGCAGGAACCCTGCCTATGAAAGCCGACGGGAAAAAGAACAGGGACGAAGGAACACATATAGTGACACAGAGCGGGCAACCAAGATGAACAGAGACATCTTTGGTAGCAAGGGGGTGGCCTTGGAGGGCCTCTTCCGGCCATCCCTGGGGCCCGCGGGGGGGCGAGGGGGGAGGAGGAGCAGGAGAAGAGGAGGAGACAAACCGCCTCGTTGGAGCCCTCGTGAGACGGTCTTGGGGCGCTCTTTGGCGCTCTTGGGGCCCTCTTGGGGCCCTCTTGGGGCTCTCTTGGGGCCCCCTTGGGGGCCCTGTGGATCTTCTTGGGGCCATCTTGTAGGGCGTCGATCAAAGGAAAGGTGAGGGTCCGCGCTTTCCCTCCCCCCTGGGGCCATCGAACTTGTCTCTTTTGGCAGTATTTGGGCGTTCTTGGGCCGCTCTTGGGCGCTCTTGGGCCAGTTTGGGGGGCCTATTGGGCCCCTCCTGGGGGCATCCCGAAGGGGGCTCCGAGAGCACTTGGAACCGTCTTGTGGCCTTCGTCGGAAGCTATCTTGAACCATCTGCTGCTACCTTGAGCCATCTTGAAGGCCATCTTGGAGCATCGGACACCTTCTTGGAGCCATCTTGGGCGAAAGAGGATCCTCTGCCACCTCGCGCCCCCAACAAAGCCTCAGGGAGGGGAGGGGGAGGGCACCCTTCAGGTGTTTGGAAAGAGAAAAGGAAGATCCCGATAGGCCACCTACGCCCAAAGGGCTGGTGGGATTAGATTATCGGGGCTCGTAAAGCTTATGCGTATACAGTCTTTTGTTTCTCGAGGTCTCTTCCACGGTGCCGCGCGATGCCACCTTGGATTTTGCGGACAGGCTCGTTGCTGCAACTTCGTTCGCTTCGCAGGCGCCGTCCACAGCATCGGCCTCGAGCTTCATGTCGAGCCACCTGGAGCCCGGACGAGTGGCCTTCGATTCCAGCGTAGAAGTGGTGGCTTTCAGCCGAGGCACACGCGCGGCGGACATCTATAGCCGCGCCCGCGTCACGGAGTGCTCGCTGGGCAGCAGGTCGCCGTGAAGCAAATGGGTCTTGAGGCAAAGGAGTCCCGAGCGTTTTCTTTGTTTTCGCCCTCAGGGGACCCTTCCCGGGCCAACGCAAGCAAGCAGGAAAGCCGTGCGCCAGCTTGCAGCACGGCGCCTTCGGCAAGGATCGCACGACTCCCCGCTCTAGGGGCCGGCGGCGCATCTGATGAGGTTGTCGAGGAGGTGGAGGAGGAAGGGGGAGGAGAGTGAGACAGCATCCTGGCCCAGGACGCGCAAAAGATGGGCTCGGGATGGAGGGCTGGTCCCACAGAGAGGCCCTAGGGTCCAAGGGCTCGCTTCCTCACGGGCAACCGCCCCCCCTGATGCCCCAACATCGGGAATTCGCAGAGGAGTGTTCAGCCCATGAGCTCGCGTAGGAGATCGACTACAGACTTGATGTACCACAAACTTGATATGTTCGTATCGTAGACTCTACACTTGCATATCGAACGCTCGCAGATCCAAAAAATATTCCAACGGAAGGACCCCACATGAGAATCCTCTGGGCGAATCTGGAAAAAGCCCTCACCGTCGTCCTCGTGGTTTGTGAGGCGTCCTGGCTGTCTCTTCTGCGTGTATTTCTTCTCGCCCTGGCGCGGGCCCTCCCCCCGCTCCCTACGTTGCCCCCGACCTCGCCCTCCTGTTTTGGCTCCGGACATTCAAAAAGTGGCCTGGGAGTTGTGTTCTGGGAACACGAAGAACACGAAGTGGCCTACAGTTGGCTCCGGGCATTCAAAATGTGGCCCCGGAATGGTGTTCTGGGAGCACGAAGAACACGAAGTGGCCTACAGTTGGCTCCGGGCATTCAATATGTGGCCTGGGAATGGCGTTCTGGCAGCGCGAGAGCCCAAAAGTGGCGACAGTCACAGGAATTGGATGACCCGCTCGGATTAGTAACATGATCCGCGGGCCCCATAGGGAGGGGGCTCCCGCTTGAGACTTCCTCGCGAATCACACACAAATGTGGCCTGGGAATTGCGTTCTGGCAGCGCGAGAGCCCAAAAGTGGCGACACTCACAGGAATTGGATGACCCGCTCGGATTAGTAACATGATCCGCGGGCCCCATAGGGAGGGGGCTCCCGCTTGAGACTTCCTCGCGAATCACTCACAAATGTGGCCTGGGAATGGCGTTCTGGCAGCGCGAGAGCCCAAAAGTGGCGACAGTCACAGGAATTGGATGACCCGCTCGGATTAGTAACATGATCCGCGGGCCCCATAGTGAGGGGGCTCCCGCTTGAGACTTCCTCGCAATTTACTCACAGACGAGGCCCAAGGCGAGTGAGTGAGTGAGTGACTGACTGACTGACTGATGATGATGGTGATCATCATCATCATCATCATCATCATCATCATCATCATCATCATCATCATCATCATCATCATCATCATCATCATCATCATCATCATCATCATCATCACACTCTCTCACGCGCACGCTCATCATCATCATCATATGTGAGTGCTGATGAGTCAGTGATTGAGTGAGTGAGTGAGTGAGTGAGTAAGTGAGTGTGTGTGTGAGAAATGAGTGATGATGATGGTGGGTTCCTGTTCCTGCGCGGGGTGTCCAGAGAAAACAAGAACCCCACTATGGATGTGGGGAAAATATACGCACTTGTCGTGAATTCGACGAACACTTCAATTATGGGGTAAATCAGTTCTTGACGCTTCGCTGGTCCTCACCACCCATCCAGACACGATCGGAGGCGTTCTTGAGGCCTCGCTTGAGCCATGCTCTGCTAGAGGCCGTCGGAGGCTATCTTGAGCCATGCTTAGCTATCTTGGGTCATATTCAGGCTGTCTTGAGGCCTCTTGGAGGTCTGTCGGTATCTATCTTAAACCATGCTCGACCTCCTGGGACCGTCTCGGGAGGAACGAGAGAGAAGGAAGAGGAGGGGGAAAACAGAGGAGGAGGAAGAGGAGGAGGAGGAGGAATAATGTGGCCCGATGAGGAGGAGGTGGACGCGCAGGAGGAGAAGGAGGAGGAGGGATGAGGCAGGAATGGAGGACGGAAGGAACGGACGATGACAATGAGGATGAGAAGTCGGGCTTTGCAGACATGTTGTCGTGAGAGGTTCTTGTCATCTTAGGGGCTTTCTTGGGGTCCCGAGGGGCCCCTCGGGTTACTCTTGGGGCCCTCTTGGCTTTCGCTTTGGGGTCTTGATGCCCTCTTGGGGCCCATGGGAGGGGTCTGGGAGGCCTCTTGGACCCCATGGCTCAAACAGAGGGGGGTACTCAATTCCATTCCCGTTCTCAATTCCTGAGCTGCATTTTGGGACCCTCCTGGGGGCCTCTTGGGCCCCTCTTGGGACACTCTTGGGCCCTCTTGGGGCCATCTTGAGGCCTCAAAAGCCCATAAGCGATGAGGCAAAACACATTGATGCTCACAAAGTTTCGGAGCCAGTTTGGCCTCGTGGGGGGTCCTCGGAGGGCTCGGCGGGCACTGGAAGTCGTCTTGGGGCCCTCTTGAGGCCTCTCGGAATGTTCGTCGGAGGCTATCTTGCGCCATCTTGGGGCATCTTGACCTATCTTGGAGAACATCTTGTACTCGCCGGGACGCCCTCGGAGTCATCGTGGACCTAACCTCTGGCATCTCGCCCCACCCCTCCCAGGCCCAGGACGCCTCTTGCGCATGTGATGTCACATCACCCTTACGCACCATGGCCCTTAGAGCCATCCCTGGGGGCGCTGCGATCTGCGAAACCGTCGCCACTTTCGAGGGTTGCTTGGGGCGTCAGCGGAGCAAGGCACCACCCAGACTCAGACTAGGCTTCGCCATCCTTGGGGGGCTGCGATCTGCGAAACCGTCGCCACTTTTGAGGGCTGCTGGGGGTCCAGCGGGGCGCTGTCGTGGGCCGCCCGCAGACCTGGCGGCGCGCCCTGGAGCGTTTAGCCCCGGCACTGAAAAAGAGCAGGAGGGAAGCAGGGAAGCTAGCGGGCGAGCCTGGCCTCGCTCGCTTTTCGCACTAATTTCAAGCAGGCTTCATCATGTCGTCGGGCGGCTCAGCGTCATGGCGCAGGCAGAGCTGCAGTTTTAAACTACGATCGACAAGAGCAACACTGTTCGGTCTCCTCCCGTCACTTTCGTCGTCGCCCTCTGCCCCCTGCCACCTTCCCTCTGCTGCTGCCGCGACGACGGTTCGCCCCCCCGCGCGCCTTTGCCCTGCCCTCCGTTCTCGCCCCCATGTCCTCCTCAAGTTTGGGCCCGCGCTCCTCGTCCTTCTGTTGTCCTGTGAACCGTGTTACGTGAGCGCACCCCATGTAGCTTGCACCACGCATATCGGTGCCTTCACTGTCATTGCCGTGGCAAGTTGAGGCCAACTGCACTTGTCACTTGATGCAAATGGGTTGGGTACGTCGCAGGGTAGTTTGACAAGGATGGTGGGGGGGGGCCCGCATCGGATTGGTTGCGCATGCTCCGATTTTAGAGGCGGAATGAGTTTTGCATTGTTGTTTGACAGGGTTTGCGGCGGGTGGTCGCATGGTTCCTGGTTGGCCCCTGGTCGCCTGGGAGAGGGGGTGTATATTGATAGGGAGCAGTGATAAACCCCTCCCCCGAGCCGGGGGGGAGGAATTTCAGCAGAGAGAAGACACAAGTTCGCCCAGAGAGCTGGAGGGATTTTGTAGTCGATCTCCGATTCGAAGGGAGCGAACCCAGCTTGAGGCTGGCCACTTCTTCTTCTTCTTCGGGGAGCTAGCTGATTGGAGGAGCGATCCCCCTTCCGACCCCACCCCAGACCCTGCCCAGGCATCCGCCTGTAGGATTGTTTCCAAGCTCAGCCCCATCGGCCCGACCCGTTCCCCGCGGCAAGGTTTTTGCCCTTGATGCGTTTGCGGCGCCCCTGGGGCCTGACAGCTCCCAGAAGCCGAAATCGAGGAACAACTCCCGGATTGCAAAAGGGTATCGTCGGAGATCTGGGTACCCCACGCTTACGTCCCCCCGAGAGCAGGGTCCAGCTGCCCGCGTCGTGGTCCTTCGCCTCGACGGCGTCGGCCGCATCGACCACCCTGGGCGCCGCAGGCGCCTCGCCCGCGCGCCGCGGCGCCATCGGCGGGCGCTTGGCCCTGGCGACCGTCGACGAGGCCGCGCCGCCGCGCCCGGCGGCGTGGGCGTAGGAGCGCGTCGGTCCTCCTCGGGGGGCGCCAAAGTGAGGGGCAACGTGAGAGCGTCTTGCATTCCCGGGCGACAGCGTGCGCTACCGTGGGGGGAGGGGGATGGGGCGGGGCAGGTCACCTCACGTTTCGCGCTGGCGCTGCATGGGGGTGCTTAAGAATAGCCAGAGACAGCTCGGACGTCAGCACAAACTGTGACGTTACCCGCCGGGGGTGGGGGCCAGTGACGGCCGTTATCGCGAAAAATAAAAAAACACTCTGCTCTGTAGGGGGGCAGCTCAGGGGTGGAACCTCGATTCGGAATCGGCGATGCGTCTTCTCAGAAGCCCTCGCGGGATATGTTTCCTGCGTCTTCGGAGAAGGCTTAGAAAACTTCGCAGAGGTCCGGGGAACTTCCAAGCTTTCTGAGAGGTCCGCCCCTTCTCACTTCCCCCCGGGCGCGCCGCCTAGTGGTGCGCGATCCCCAGACCCCCTCGCGCTGTGATTACGCTACCGAGGAACCCTACATACTTCGTCTTAACTCTTTTGCTAGCAAAGCAGTCGTGCAACATGCGCCGATTTTGCTATTCGCTTAACGCGGCGACCACGTCGCGCGGAGCAAGCAATGAGGAGGTCTTCGGCAAAGAGCCTCTGGCAGGAAACAGAAACGCTCTCTGCTTGACGGCCGGTACTCTGGATGAGCTGCTGGTCTGTCTGCTAATTCTTTGTACCATTTGACCGCCGTCGCATCCGCGTGGGAGAACAGGCTTTCAGGGAGGATCGACTCTCGCAGTTCCCGCGACCATGGTCCTCGCGACCAGCGGTAGTCCATCCCGCCGGCTCTGGGGACAGCTGAATGCGAGGAGTGCCAGTGGAACGAACAGACGTAGCAGGCGTAACTGCTGGAATTCGCTGAGGGCGAAAGCCTGCGCATGGGCATGGCCTTCATGGGCGTGGCCTGCATGGGCGCAGCCCCCGTGGGCGCAGCAGCCGTAGCGCATGGAGACTGGCGGTCAGCGCCCGCGCTGCTGGCATCAGCGATTCGCCGAACCTTCGCTGGTGTCTCGTGAAAACCCGCCTGTGGAAACCCGCCCGACGCCGGGTTCAACAGGAACGTCACCAGGCACTGCCTCGTCCTGCTATCGTCGTTCGTTCCTGGATGCGGCAACTCGTTACAGCTCACGTGAAGCGTGTCAGGTCACCGATTATTGAGTTGACGGTGGTCGGAATCGAATGCGTTTCTTACCAGAGCCCCTTCGCAGCCGCGCAAGCCTTCCACGCTTACATCGACGCCCAGTTCAGTCAGTGCGTTCTTCAGTTTCACGCACGGAGGTGGCAGCTCACCCATGGCAGTTTTGGGCGGCATTGCTGCCACGCGCAGGTCTGGCGGCTGTTGCCCGCAAGTGTGAGCATTGGCACGCTTACGTGAAAACGCAGTCGTGCCGCGCCACCTTAAGCCGCGATATGTACGGGCCGGGGCAAGACGCAAGCTCTCACGCGCAGCGTCGTGGATAGACACCGTGCTCAATGACCATCCCTTGCCCAGCGCCTCTGGCGTGGAGAACCTGCCACGCCTGCTAAGCTTCGCGACACTGTCGTGGATAGGCACCGCGCTCAGGGGCCACCCCCAGTGCACCCCCTCTGGCGTCGAGAAAATGTCACGCCTACAAAGCTTTGCAACAGCGCTCGGGGACCACCCCCTGCGCACCCCCTCCATCGTTGAAACAGCGCCAACCCCCCGCGACACTGTCGTGGATAAACAGCGCGCCCAGGAACCACCCCCTGAACCATCCCTCTGGCGTCGAGGAAATGCCACGCCTGCTAAGCTTTGCGACAGTGTCGTGGATAGACACCGCGCTTAGGGACCCTCTGCGCTGGCGTCGAGAAATTGCCACGCCTGCCGGGCTCTCCGACCCTGGCCCGCATAGAGACCGCGCTCAGGGACCACCGATGCGCGCTCCCTCTGGTGTCGAGAAAGTGCCACGCCTGCTGGGCTCTCCGACCCTGGCACGCATAGGGGCCGCGGTGAGAGACTACCCCCTGCGCACCCTCTCTAGTCAGACGCGTGTCTCATGTACGCGCCGTGCATGCGTTGCGTGTGGGTGAGGGGAAGAAAGAAGAGGAGGAGAGGAGGACGGAGACGCGGGTGCGACGCGACAGGGAAGAAAACCAGAACCCCACGAACCAGATGGGGAAACATACACCAGCAAACCCCCCGAATAGCAGGAAAGGTCCAGAAACGGTGCGAGGGGAACGGGATCCGGCCATATTCGACAGAGATGACGGCACGGGCATGTGCACCGTAGTGGATGTTTTTGGGGATCGTTGCCGTCGGGGCTAAACATGTAGCCGGCATTGAGGCGAGAGCACGGTTCTTGAACAATTTGCGAGGGCGACTGAGGCGCAAGGGTTTCCAGACCGGGCGGTCTAGGGCTCCCGTCCCCCCTGTGGGACTCTTCCGCGGCATTCATCCCACATAAGAACCCTCAAGCGAAACGCGATGAGGGAAAAACCCGACGTGAGGGCTTTTGCGATCCAGCTGCCTACGGCAAGTCCCGCCACCGTGCCTGGGTTGTGGATGTTCGTCGCCCATCCACGCTCGCCCAGTGGACGTTCGTCGGGATCTCGTGGGGGGCCTCGCGGGGGGCCTCTTGGATGCAGTTTTGAGGCCTCTTGGGGGCCGTTTGGGGGCCTCCTGGGGGCCTCTCGGAGACTCGGGGTGGAAAACCAATCTTCGGGAAGGGGTCCAGACCTCCGAAGGGGCACACTGGACAAGAAAACAGGACGGCGGAGTTCTGGGTGCACGGCCGGCACGAGGCTTCAGAGCAGCCCTGGCCTTGGAGGGGTGCGTTTTTGCTCTTCGCGTGTGGGTTCTTCGCTGCGGGGCGCTCCTCGCTGGGGGTTCTTCCGTGGGGCCCCGGGCCTTCTGCGAAGGGGCTCGTGCTTTTGACCCGCGTTCTAGTGTTAAGTCGGGCCTGTCCCTTTACAGGGGGGATATTCAGAAATAGTAAAAAATTGTTTGAGGACTATTTTAGGGCATTTCTGTTGTACCATTTTGGAATATGTTTCAAATATTTTCCTTATTCGTCGAAAATCCCCCTGTAGGGGGACACGCCCGACTTAATCCTAGTGACCAGGTCACGCTTCGACTGTAGGAGAGATGGATCTTGCTGCCGGGGCCGTGAAGGATTCCAGATGCCGATCAGTACCCCTCCATCCTTTCTTGCAACACGCCCCCACCCCACCCCCCTCTCGCCCGCGCACACGTCTTTGGCCCCGATGCGCCGACCGTGATCCCCATGGCCCCCATTTTCGGTGCACCCGACTCCCCTCCAATCTTTTTGCCTAGCGGGCGAGGAGGAGGAGGAGGAGGAGGAGGAGGAGGAGGAGGAGGAGGAGGAGGAGGAGGAGTACGAAGCACAAGGCTCCACCGTCGGGGCCGCCCGTCCTCGTGCGGCTGGGAAGGCTCTGCCCCTTGCGCGCCGCCGCGGTCGCCGTGGGGGGGGGGGCGAAGTTCTCTCGGCCACTTTGGGACAGCCGCCCCCGACGACGACAGAGTTCCGGCTGTGCTGGTCCCCGCCCGCGGTTGGGCGTTGCGTAGTGGAGGGGTCATAAACGGGGGGGTGGCGAGGGTGGTCCGACGACCCCCCAAACGGTACCTAAACGAGCCCCCTGGGGCTTTGGAGGGGCCCGAAAGGGGCACGAAAAGGGACCGTTTCTGACCCCCCCATTTATGACCCCCCCATTAAGCCACGCCCAACGCGGACTTCCTGAAGGCAGAAGCGGTTGCAAAAGGTGTTGCTTGCAGTGAACTCGGGGGCGGCAAAGAGGGGGATGATGACTAGGGGGGGGGGGATATCATGGCGGGGGGGCCAGGATATTTCCGCAGATTATCGTGGGCCTCTTCTTATTACATGACGTCCCTGGCCCCCCCGCTGGCCGCGCACATGCCGCCGGGCATGATTTGCCCCCCCCCCCCCCCCCCCCCCCCCCTCTTGGACGCCCCCCTCTTGGCCGCTCCCGATGAACTCATGGCAGGACTCCTGCAGTAAACTCACCGAAGGCAAAAGGATCTGTTGCCTTCAGCGAGCTCGTGGGCGCCATCCCGAGGCGCAGGTGCGTGCCTCCAGTGTGCTCCTTGCCGCCGCAACATGCCTTCAGCAAGTTTTTTTTGTTTTTCGTGTGCTCACTCCCGCCCCGCCCGCGCTCGGCGCAGGGCCGCGCGGCCGCCGATTCGCTTGTAGCGCGCGCGCGCGCGCTGGCGCGCGCCGGCGCCCCCCCGCCGATCGCGGGCGGTCGCCAGGGCGCCAAGAGGCCCGCTCGTCAGTGGCAACGCTGGGAGGCGACGAGAAGGGGCGAATGCAGTCGGACCGAGGTATAAGATCGAGGCAGGTTAGGGGTCTTCGTGTTTGCTGGATGCCCTTGTGCATCCCCGGGAGGGTACCCTTTGATTGTTCTGTGTGTTTTGGCCGACGGAGGGTCTCATGTTCTTGAAGGATGTTTTTCTGGCCCGAGTCCAGCCTTCGGCGAGCCTTCGACGAGGTTGTTCTTCTCCTCCTCCTCCTCCTCCTCCTCCTCCTCCTCCTCCTCCTCCTCCTCCTCCGGCGTCGATGGTCCATGTCTTCGGGAGGCTCCCCGGCCAGTGCATGTGATGCCCGCCCCTGGGCTGTTCGCCCCCGTCGTCGCCGCCGATTCAGCGCCATAGGGCGCGCTAGGCTCGGGGCAGGGGGGGGCGAGATATTCGGGGGTCTGGAGCTGGCTGGGGGTCTGAGGTGGCGTTGGTTGAGGAATGTGCCCAGGAGGCTTCAGACCCTGGGGGGGTCCCTTTCTAATAAGTGCGGCGGTGATATCCATGGCCAGTCCACGATTGGCTTTCCACTGGCTTCGAGACCCTAGATTCCTTGTCCATTGGTTCCTTATCCAATGCCCCCACCGGGATATATTTGCCTCCGTCGTCGCCGCCGACGGCGCTATGGGGGGCGCTAGGCTCGGGGCAGGGGGGACGAGATTCTCGGGGTTGGAGCCGGCTGGGGGTCTGCGAGGTGGCCCAGCCCTGGTTTGAAGTCGGGCGTGTCAAACATAGTTTAACAAAAATGGACTCAGCAGGAGGAATATTCCAAAATAATCAAACACAGATAGTATGGGGGCGATGCTTGCCGCATTGTTTGGCTATGTTTACCCATGTTTCGAACATGTGTCATTTTTCGTCCAAGATCCCCATGCCGGAGGACATGCCCGACCTGACACTGGTTCCGTCCAGCAAGAGTCAGGAGGGAAAAAAACACACAGACACAATTAATCGTCGACCCCCAGGAAAATATGGGAAAATATGGGAAGTGGGGGGGAAGACAGAAACCCAGAAAATATGGGAAAATATGGGGAATCCTTTTATTTGTGTGTATTTATTTGTGTGTCCTGGCGCCCCTTCAAAGAGGAAGAAGGGATTCGAGGTTCTCGGTTCGAGAAGGTGTCTTGCCTTTGTGGCTCTCCGGGGGCCGTGTTCGGACCCTGGGCTCGTCAAAAGGCAGGATCTGTCAGGAGGGGAAAAAACACACAGACACAATTAATCGTCGACTTCCCAGAAAATATAGGAAAATATGGGAAGTGGTGGGGACGACAAAAACACAGAAAATATAGGAAAATATGGGGAATCGTTTTATTTGTGTGTATTTATTTGTGTGTCCCAGTTTCCCTTCAATCTGGGGTGAACAGCTGCACAGGAGGGACCCCGCGAGGGGTCTGGGGACTGATTTGAGCGGATGTGGCGTCGCCCCCCCCTTCTAATCGGATTTTCTGGGGGCCCGTCCAGTTCAGACGCTCTGGCCGCCGCCAAATTCGAGGTTCGACCAGAGCCCGAGTTACCAGGCAGGGGGGGCGGTCAGGGATGACTCCTGATTCGGGCCTCCCAGTTTCACCAGAGTTGCCCGGGGTTGCCTTCCACCCGAGTTTTCCCAGATCACAGTCCGCCCCATGTGGATACTGTCCAGCACGCTCCTGATACAGGAGTCATTCGGGATCAAGCGGTCTCGGGTGTTTCCCAGATCTCATCTGGGGACGCGTAAACAGGGCCCTGATTACCCCGACCAGGTCTATCCCCGAAAATTCGGGTGCCCAGTTTGAGGTGTCCCTGACAGTTTTCCAAATTCGGGATGGTTTCCAGCAGCTGGCCGAGATCGTGCAGAACGGCCGCAAGAGGCCCGAGATGTGACCCGAGAAAACCACACGACGAGGCTCAGCGAGGAACGCATCGACCCCCAGTCGCCCACTTATCGCCAATCGGGGGCCGACAGGTCACCCCGCCCAGGAACGCGCGGCACCGCTATCGAGGGCAGAGGGCCTGTCGCCGATCTATCGGCGACGTATCGCCGATTACAGGTCGGTGTCCCCCCCCCTGAGCCCGTGCCCTCCTATCCTTGCCTCCCGGCTTGAAATTCGGGCCCCCGCCCGCCGGCAGAGCCGAGCGACCGCGCCAGCCGCAAGAGGAGGCGGGTCGGCACGCTGGTCCAGACGCCCGGCGCCTCCAGTCAGAGGAGCAAGAGGTCATGATCTGAAGTTGCCCTTGTACGCCCGCTTCGAAACGTAACACGTACTATGGTCAAAACGTCCGTGCGATCACGCTGCGTGTTGACTTCGGCACATGCTGGCCCACGT